ACACACATACATATATACACATACACACACACATACACACATACATACACACACAGACATACACACATACATATATACACATACACACACATACACACATATATATACACACACACACATATACACACATACACACACACATGTATATGTATGTATATGTATGTACACACACAGACACACGTATGCATACACACATACACATACACACACACACATATACACACACATATACACACACAGGCACACACAGGCACGCATGCCTTTTTGTGTTACCACACTGGCAACCAAGCTTCCTGCAGGTGACCCTTGGGAGAGTCACTCTTCAGTCACAGACATCAGCAGCCACTCTTGTTCCATTCCGCAGAGATTCTATCTTTGGACTCGCCCACCCACCCTCCCACTCACCCTCCCGTTTCCTTCCTTCTTAGCCGGCAGATTTGCATGTGAGCCGTGGCGAGGTCCTGGGAGCACGCTGGGCAGTGGGGCGGGAGGAGGGCGCCACCGAGCCCATCAGGTCCTGTGGAGTGCTTCCTAAGTGTCTCCCGTGAAATGGGGTCTTACAGCAGAGAGGTGGGGGCCGCAAAATTTGCCATTCATGAACCAGGCGATGCTGAGACGTGGGTCATGTCTGTGAGTGGGCAACCGCCCCTCCAGGAAATGGGGAGACCCGAGACAGGCTCAGAGCTCATGAGCCACTCAGGCAACACTACACCAACAGAGCAGCCTCGTGTGACGGCCTTTTCTGTGCTCTAGCCCCGAGGGAAGCGCCAAGCCAGCCACTGGCGTGGTACGCGTCCGTGAAGAAGATTAGAAACAAGAAGGCCACCTCAGGGTCCGGCGAGCCAGAAAACGACTACGATGATGTTGAGATCCCGACGAGCGCTGGAAACCAGCACGCCAAAAAACCCGCACCTTCTTGGCAGGCCGCCACGGGCTTACACAGCTTGTTTTAGAATGGTCTGGGTGGTTGGACACAGCACGTCTCTAACCCTAGAGGAAGCCGCCACAGCCGTGTGAGAGCTACAGCAGATGACAGGACAGCCTGATGTGACCGGAGCTCCAGATGTTCCCGATGCCCCTGATGCTCCAGCTGTTCCTGACGTCTCCTGACACCCCAGAAGCTCTGCTCTGTGACTATGGGGGTCCAGCCTTTGCACTTCTGTGGAGGTTTCCTTAGTGCGGCCCACGGGGCCTGTGAGAATCCACTCTTCCCCTCTCGTTCCTGTGGTGACTGCGGCTCTGTGGCAAAGGGTCTCAGCCCTCCTCACCCTAACCCTTCAGTGCAGTTCACCATGTGGTGACCCCAGCCATGTTGCCAGGTCGTGACTGTAACCGGCTACTGCTGTAAACTGTAAATATTTGATGTGCAGGATGTCTGGTAGCTGGCTCTAAGGGCGCTCACCCACTCCTGGGGATCTTAAGTCTTGGTATTTGTGTGGAGTCTCCCAGCTCCCATCCCCGAGTCGGCTTGTCATTACGGTGAGGGCTCTTGGATTCGCAGGACACCACACTCTGGGCGTCTATGAGGGAGGAATCACCTTCTGTTCTCTTCAGGCTGCCCTCCCCCACCCCGTGCATTTATAGAATGGGGAGCAAACCCACCAAAGAGAATCAAGAGCTTTTACAACTGTGTTTCCTGTGCTCTGGGTGCTCTTTTTAACCGACAAAGGGCAGAGGTGGCCTCTGCCTCCCGCCTCCATCTCTCTTCTGCAGGGAGTGTGCCGACAGCACCAGGAACCGTCTCCGGCCAGCACCGGCCGGCACCGGCCGGCAGCGGCATCTCTAAGATGAGAATCAGGGCTTGGCATCCCTTCTTCGGCTCCCATTATTCAATGTTTTGGTAGCCGCGGCCAACTCTCCTGTCTGTCTTTCCTGGGGCGCTGTTACCACTTATCTCCTGCTAAGCATTCCTGGGTGCTGTCACCAGCACTCACGGGGCGGAACTCTGCCTGCAACTTCCAACCTCGGGCTCCAGGTCAGCCCTCTTTCCAGGTTCAGGCTGCCAAGCCTGTCGGACACCTCCACCTGGTTATCCCGCAGGAAGGGACCCCCAAGCATCCTGTGCCGAGGGCAGAAGTTAGCACCCTCTCACGCTATTGCCCGTGTTCCCCAGCACCTGGGCCTGCCTGATCCGCTCAGGCTCCATCACTCCAAGGTCAGCCACGGCCAGCACTTCCCAGAGAGAACTTTAAGAACCTTAACCAGTGTCCTGCTTCCAGAACCTCACACTCCAACAACGCTGATGCTGATCGTAGCCGGGGATTTTCTAAAGGGAGCGATGGACACTCTCTCCCACTGTGTAACCCTCCCCTCGTCTTCCCTACGAGCCCCATCTGTGCTGCCCTTACAATGGGCCTCTTTGCCCCTCACTCTGACGCTGCTCTCTGCCTAGCCTTGAGGCTATCTGGGCGTCTTTTAAAACTGAGGCTGAAGTATCCATGCCCATAGAGAACAAGCTTTTCTCTTCACACGGATGGCACTCTGCAGGCACCCAAGGTGGCCTGAGCTGTGCCTCAAGCCGTGGCTTGACCCACCCCACGGTTGGGCAACCAAAGAGCCCTGAGGCGACGCCAGCATCCCACGCTCAGGGCTAGCATTCTGGACTGGGAAGGACCCCAAGATGGCTTCGTTGTTTCCTTTGTCTTGCGGTGTAGCATCAACAGTCCCCGTTCACCTCTTCGGGGCCAAACAGTCTTTTTCATTCTTTGCAATATGGCCAGGCTGAGAATGTTCTGGATTTTTAGGTTCTGCTTTGGTTTCTTGGGGTTTTTTTTTTCCCCCACATTGTCTACAGGCAGTCAAGACAGAATGCCAAACTCAGAGAACCTTCCTCACCATCTGCCAAGCCGCCTTGTCATTGTTCAGAACCTCAGGACTAAACCTCCTGCCACCTTGAAAGGAGGCTCCCTTTTCCTTGGGTTCAGTCACTGGGTTCCCTGCTCCCAGCCCACCAGGACGGTCCTGACGGTCCGGCTTCCACCCGAGTGCTGTTCCAGCCTCTCATGTGATCTCCGAGAAGACCGGAGGATTCTCTGTAACTCCTCGCTTCTGAGTCCTTACAAGAACTCCCTTCAGGGTCTGTGAACAGTAATTCAGTTTTTGTCCAACTTTCATTTCAAAACACTTCCACATCCCTTGGTATTTCCTAAGAGCAGAGCACATCATTTCTTGGCACCACTTACTGTCCAAGTCATCAGGCAGCCGTGAGAAGGGAACTGAGACGGACGTGTGACTCCAGCTCCCACCGCTATAACAAAATACCTGGGCTTAATCACTTGTCAACATAAAGGGTTATTTTGGTTCTCCGGTCAGCGGAGGTCCCAGTTCACGGATGGTTTGACCCCGTTGCTTTAGATCTGTGGGAAAGTGAGCTCACGTTATAGCAGGAGGGGCATGAAGCAGAGTCATGCCCTTCATGGCCAAGAGGCAAAGAAAAAACAGGGGCCAGGGTCTTGCTAACCCATTTGAGGACACCAACCCCCATGTAGCCCCCCAACTTAGAGACCACATCCCTCCCAAAAGCACTGCTCTAGGGACAAAGCCTGTAATACACAGACCTTCGGGGACACTCGAGATCCAAAGTATTTAGATAATTTAGAAACAACAGAAATCTATCGCTCAAGATTGTGGAGAGGGAGCGATAGAAGAGCGATCCAAGAGCAAGGTGCATCCGACTCAGCGTGTGAGAGCTGCGTCACGGTGCCTGCCTGCCCCCACATGCTGGGCGTGGAGGGAGGGCAGCTTTCTGGGACTTCTATTGTAAGGGCATCAATCCCACTTATGAGACCGTAGCCCCTGTATCTTAACAGGGCCATGTGTGTGTGGGGGGGGGGGGGAGGGGTATTTCAATATATGAGATCTTGGGGATACAAACTGTAAAAGGGGCACAGTGAAACCTCTGAACTAGACCATTCTGCAGGTAGAACTCAAGCTGCAGGGGTTCGAGAGCAAAGTCTTGTTTGTCTTAAGGGGACAGGCAGCCTGGGAGGGGAGTTGCAGGATGCAGAACAGCCTGGGCCTCAGCTGGGCGTCCTTGATCTGCACCAGGCCGGGGTAGTCAACCTTGGGATGGATAAGGGAAGTCGTGGCTTCCCCGTAAAGCTTAGGCTTGTTTTCCCACAACAACCCCTTGTTTACCCAGAGTGCTTATGTTGTCTCCTGCACCGCCGTTTGGGGCTTTGGACTCACAAACACTGAGACACATGCTATGAGAGAAATGGGGCGGATTTGGCATGTCCTGCCTTTCTGGCTGGGGGTGAGCTTTGCCATCAAAGAGATGGGAGCTAGAGCCGCAGAGAGGCCTGCGGCCATCTCACTGGTCACCACTTCCACAAACGCCCTGTCACCAGTTGCTGTGTTTTGGCCACAGTCGTGGGGGAATTAGACTGAGAAATGGCTCCTGCGTGCCATTCACCGTCTCACAGGCTTCTTGTTAATCCCGATGTTCGTAAACATTTCCACAATTTTGAGCCCCGTTTGAAGCAGGATGGGCTTTGGTCAGGACCGCTCCCTCGAATTCCCAGCTGAGTGGCGATGAGGCCTGTGCTGTTCGGCGTTGTGTTTCCCCACGTGGCTTGGTCATCGTTTTCCAAGAGCTACAAGCGTCCCAGGAAGTCCCCGGTCCTTGGGCGGGTGGGCCTCACAGGCAACCCCGATCTCTGGAAACTACCCGCAGCTCCCCAACATCAAGTCAGTTCTAGGGTTCTTGCTCTCTCTTCCTTCTGCGGGGCCTGTTTCCCTTAGAGCCGGGGGCGCCCCTTCCCCCGAGGGTCACCCTGCGGCTCAGCATCCCCTTGCACCTGCAGAGCGTGATCACCGTCCTGCAGCTGCGCCGTCTTCCCCTCAGGCCCCAGCCTCCTGGGAGTCTGGGTGTCAGTGTTTGTGCGAAACAAGCGTTCAAAAATTGTGGGTGCTTCCATCATAACCCGCCCTGTCTCCTCCTCAGCACATGTGTGTGCTCTGCCTTGGTTCAGTGGCCAAATGAAATTTCACCGAATTCACACCTGGTTGCTGAAATAGCCAGGTGCATGCTGACTGCAGCCACATTTCATTTTCCTAAAGCAGATTGAAGAAAACCCTCTGTGCAAAACCACTGTGAAAAAACAAGCCGTTCATAATGCTGCCGCTTGGTCCAATTGCCGCAAAACTCAGTCATTGGTATAGATTTAGCTCATCGATAAAACTCTTAAAATTAGGTTTTTGCTTGTTTGCTTTATGTGTGAGTGCTCTAATGTGCCCTTGAACGCCTCAACAGGAGCTCAGATCCCTTGACATGTCATGAGCCACCATGTGGATGCTGGGATTTGAACTCAGGTCCTCTGGAAGAGCAGCCGGTGCTCTTAACTGCTAAGCCACCTCTCCAGCCCCACATTGATAAAATTTAATATCACTAAAAGTTTAGGTCGTATACACTATCAATTTAGGTCTTTTTTAACCTTTATTTGTGTGACGCGTGCGGGTGTGTGCACCGTACACTTGCAGGGCCACAGAGGCCAGAAGATCGTCCTGTGGGGTAGGGGTTCTGGATGGTTGTGGCCGCTGGGTCCAAACCTGGGTCCTCTTCACCGCTGACCCATCTCCCAGCCCCCATCACACTCTAAGGAAATTACTGCGGTCCTGTTTGTCTGCAAACGTGATGACTGGATTTCTAGGTCTCGTTTCGAGATTGCGTTCCTCAGACTTTGTTGCCGTCCCATTACCCATCTTCCGTATTTCCCTCACTGGAAATGAAGACCGAACCTAGCAATGGTGGCACACATCTTTGATCCCAGCACTTGCGAGGCAGAGGCAGGCAGATCTCTGAGTTCAAGGCCAGCCTGGTCTACAGAGTGAGTCCAGGACAGCCAGGGCTACACAGGGAAACCCTGTCTCAAAAAACAAGATCAAAAACAAAACAAACAAAAAATATAAATGTAGTCTGGCAAGATGGCTGAGACAGCGAAGGGTGTGATCCCTGAGCCCCCGCGGTGGAGGAGGAAAACTGACTCCCTGGAAACCACCCTCTGCTGTCTATACACACGTGCACACTGCAAGTAAACCGTAATAACAATCTATTTTCCAAAACGAAAGATAAGTGTCACTGTGTGTGGTAATTATTCCAACCCTCTCTCCCTGTAGCTACGCAGAGAACACCCAGAGCGCCCTCTGTCTGCAGTCGCCTGTCACAACAGCGTCACGGAAGCCCCGCTGTGCATTCACACCGAGTGGAAATAACCTGCCGTCGTTATGGGAACTGTTTTGGTCGTGTGACCTAGATCACGTTTTAGGAACCTGTAATCGAGGTTCGAGGACGCCTCAAGATGTCCCTCGTGTCGTTTGCCATGAGAAAGGGGACCCCACAGATCTGTCAGCAACAAGGGATGGGCTCGCGTGCGCGCGCGCGCGTGATATGCTCAGAGTTTTCCTGAAAGGGGGGAGAAAGGCAGCAGGAGAACTTGAAACCTGCCATTGAAAGATCCCCGGAGGGTATCTTCCGTCTGAGAGACCCCCTCCCAAGGAACAACGAGGCCATTCGGATGCAAACAGCAAGAGGCTTTTATTTTGATATACGGGTACCTGGGGCAGCAAGGTCATTCGGATGACTTTGCGCGCCCCCTGGGTGGAAAGCTGGGGTTTTTATAGGGTTTTAGAGC